CCCCCCCCCAGTCCATCCGCGGTCGGAAGGCCACCCTAGAGGAGCTGCAGTCTGTCCACTCTGAGGCCCACGTCCTGCTCTACGGCACCAATCCGCTGCGGCAGAAGCTGGACAGTAAGAGTCCCCTCCCCCGCCGTTCCACTCAGAGATGTAGGGGGTCATTCCGTTTGTCTTGGGGTCATTTTCCCCTGACCTTTCTGGCAGCTGTATTTATACCGATCTTTTGCTCCTTTCTGGAAAGAGCTAAGTGGAGGGCAGTGTGACCAGATGATTGAGTAAAAGTCAGTCCAGGAACTCGAGCTTTTCAGGCACACTGGGGTGGCACTACCTGAAGGGCCCGGTCCGTGGTGTCGTTCCGACCCATAATACCATCTCTGGCTTTTCCTCCAATGTGTCTCAAATTCAGTGTCCTTAGCTGCGCTTCTTAAGCACCAGCGCCACTGCCTCCCGAGGCCCGGTCTGCCTCCCGAGGCCCGGTCTGCCTCCCGAGGCCCGGTCTGCCTCCCGAGGGCCGGTCTGCCTCCCGAGGGCCGGTCTGCCTCCTGAGGCCCTTGTCTCACTGCCAGTAACAAGCTCACGTGAATTATTATTTTTTTGGTTCCATGACTTGAGTCTGCAATAATCAGGCCACCCCTGCCGGTGTTTAGCCGTAACCGGGCTCCTGCCTCGCGGCTCTGAGTGATCAGGACTGAGATATCTAGGAGCTCGTTTCTCATCTGGTTACATGAAGGTAGTGGAGCGGGGGGGCAAGTCACTGGGTGATTATGGCCGCTTTGTTCTCGATGTGAAGTAACCGATACATATCGATAGCGTGTTTATGTCTGGGGCGGCGTGACCCTGCATGATGTGCTGGGGTCAGATGCCACAGTGACACGAGTTGGGGGGGGGGGGGGGGGCGCAGTGCTCTTGAGTCTGTTTTCACAAACTGTGTTGGCTGCATGTGAATGGAGACCCCCACTGGGTGGCGTTGCTGTGCCTGCTGGAGATTGGCCATAATGAGGGAGATGGAGGGGGGGCCCCACCTGGGACTCCCCAGCTAACAGCCTCTGCCCTTTTTCTGTACTCCCCCTTACAGGTTCAGTGACACCCATGTTCGTCAGGCTGCCCTGCGGCGGCATCGGGGTAAGACTGGACTTTTCATGTGCAAATAACACCCCTACCCCCCCCCCCCCCCCCCCCATTCCAGCGGCAACAAAAACTCGCTTTGCTTTCCGCCGGGCGGGTAATTGTGTCCAGATGTTTTCTATAAACAATCTGTGTGCTAGACTGGGGGGGTAGGGGGTGCTCTTTGTGTGTCTGTGTGTGTGTGCGCACACGTTTTGTGTGTCCCTGTGCACCACCTTTGTGCTGTTTATATATGTCAGGGTGTGTAAGCATGTGTGCGCTGCACATCGGTGTTGCGTCCTGCGAGTGTGCTTGTGATATGTGCGCGTGTGAGAGTGCATATCCTGTCCGAGTTGGCATGTCCAGGTACCACCTCCCTGTGTCGGCTTCCCCCCCCCCCTTTAGTCTTGGCTTGCTGTGTGCCCCGCAATTCCCAGGCAAAGATCTCAATGGAAGCCGAGGTGTGGCAGGGCAGGGAGGAGGTGAGCTTTGGACAGGGACTGGGCAGGTATTGCACAGGTACTGGGTGGGTACAGAGCATATCCAGGGTGGGTATTGTGCAGGTAACGAGCAGGTCTGGGACAGGTACTGGGTGGGAATAGGGTAGTTACTGGGCAGGAATAGAGTTGGTCCGGGGCAGGTAGTGGGCAGGTCCAGTGTAGGGGCTGAGCTGGTAAAGGGTAATTACCTGGGACAGGTCTTGGGCAGGTACTCGAGCAGGTCCGGAGCAAGTACTGGGCTGCTACATGGACATGTCAGGCTCATACTCATCGTGTTATAAGTTTCTGCAGCTTCATCTTGCTCAGACTCTCAGAAAACAGCTGTGTCATAGTAAATACGTTTCACAGAGATGGCTGCCAAAGAAAGAGCATCAATGTTTCAGAGGAATTTCACTTAAACCATCAACAGTCCATCCTCCTAGGCATGCACCTCCTCCAGCGAGTGCATGTCTCTCCTGTCTGCAGTCCTTAGTGTATGTAAGTGGATTTTAGGCGTGTGACCTTGTGAGCGAACTAGTGTGTGTGTGCATATAGGTGTGTGTTAATGCATGTGTCTTTGTGTGTTTTGGGACTGGGGGGGTGGGGCGTGCATGATGGACCCCAGAGCTGGGCCCCCACGGGGCTGTGCTGGTGAGAATCAGACGGGCCCTGCACTTTCTTATGGAAATGGGGGGAAATTGTTGTCTTCCTGACTCCGCGCTCCGAAAATGACCCTGTTAGCGTGAGGATACGCTGTGTTTCTTCATTCCAACACGCGCTGCCCTTGTGACGCCTGCCCCCGCACCTCCCTGGCCCCTTATTTGCCTCGCCTCACTCTTTCCCACCCCCCGTTTTTTCCTTCTTGTCCCGCAGTCCTTTTTCGTGTCAGGAAAACGTGCCACGGTCCTGTAATGTGTCACACGGACCAATTTTGGCCAGACATTCAAAGACTGCAGTTTTTTAAACAGCCCCCCCACCCCCTGGCCCGAGGTGCGATACAATTTATAGATTTTTGAAAGACGTTTCCAGGGGTAGGTATGCATCCCCATCGGGCTGGATCTGTCCCTCTTGTCAGCTTGTGGCCCCCCTCACAGATATTTTTGACGGTCCTTGTCATGCTAAAACTGGCCTGGTTTCTCTTGACATGCCTGTGAGGAGCCAGCGGTGAAATAAACACCCCTTGAGTTTTAGCCTCATCGTAGCAGGTTACACTGCCTCCCCCCCCCCTCCTGTGGCGAGATGCCAGGTCGCTGGGTGTGGTGTCCCCGACCGCAAGGCTCAATTAACCCTCCAATGTTTTAGCATTCGGCTAACTGACCCGGCGAGTCGAATGAAAGTGGTCTGTTTTATTATATCTTTATCAGAAGGGGTCGTCTCCCATTCTTAAATATCCCATAAAGAAACTGTAGGGGGCGCAGCAAACTTTGACCAGCACGGAATGACAAATGGCGGCCAGCCGCCCACCCACTATGCCACAGAAAGATGGCCGCTCTGCCCGCTAGCTCTGGGTGTGAAGGGGTCTCCCCCAAGCCCCTACTGATGGCGTCAATAGCTAATAGCTCCAACAGCTAATTTCTGACTAGGGGGGCAGGCGTGCGGGTGCATAATAGGGTCTGGCCTCAGGCTACCTGATGAATGGCCAGCCTCTCGTCCCACTGGGATCTGCTCCACCTCCGAATGTTTGGTCTTCACGTCGGGAACCAGCAGCCCCCTTGTTTGCTCCCCCCCGGGCCACGGTGGTCCAGAAAGCAGAGACATACACCAAACATGGAGCCCAGGCTTTGTGTTTGTGTGTTTTTTCTGAATAACCCCTGACCTCACGTCTGTGGCTGACGGGGTGGGCATCCGTCCCCCCTCGTGAGAGCTGTGGGCCGAAGTTGTCCCTCTCATTGTGTGGACATCATTTAACATGGCTAAAGCAAACTGCCGAGTACAAGACCCCCCCCCCAGCTCATTCACACCTCACACATTCCTGTCAGAATTATTTAAGTACCAGATCCAAACTGGGATTCTCGTTAAGGAGTTAACTGTCCCACCTTTCTTTAGAGCTGCTCTGAGTAGTGTGAACAGTATCCCTTCATCATGACAAAACTCTCTCTGTTTGTGTGTCTGTTTGTATGTATCCGTGTGGCAGGTGGACAGTGACACCATCTGGAACGAGGTACACTCCTCCAGTGCTGCCCGTTTGGCTGTGGGCTCCGTTGTCGAGCTCGTCTTCAAAGTGGCGTCTGGAGAACTAAAGGTGAGGTTACAGGGAGTGAATCTCAATACCACGAATGCAAAGACCACACTTGTGGTCTTGCCTTCCAAGAATGAACTCATTCAGAGAGGATGCAACTAATGTATCATTTATATTTGGGGTGGAGCAAGACCAACATCTGGGGATTTTTACTGTCCTCGTTTACTTTTGTTCTTAGTATTGGAACTGGTCTTTGGCAATGGAAGGTTACATAAATCGCGTACATGAAAACACAAATACAGTCAAGTACGCATGTTGAGATCTGAGCCGACCCTGGCTTGGGTCTGACCATGTAACACAAAGTCTGAGCTGCACCTGGGTTGAATATGACCTCATGACAGGAAGTCCGAGCTGCATCTGGCTTGGGTCTGCCACATGACAGGAAGTCCGAGCTGCATCTGGCTTGGGTCTGCCACATGACAGGAAGTCCGAGCTGCACCTGTTTTGGATCTGACCACATGACAGGAAGTCCGAGCTGCACCTGTTTTGGATCTGACCACATGACAGGAAGTCCAAGCTGCACCTGACTTGGGTCTGACTGTGTTACAGGAAGTCTGGGCTTCACCTGGTTTGGGTCTCATTTTGTAACAGGATGTCTGAGCTGCACCTGTTTTGGGTCTCATTTTGTGACAGGGTGTCTGATCTGCACCTAGTTTGGATTAACCACATTGCAGAAAGTCTGAGCCATTCCTTGCTTGGGTATAACCACTCGACAGGAAGTCCAAGCCATACCTGGCTAGGGACTGATCCGTGTAACAGGTAGTCCAAGCCACACTTGGCTTCGGTCTGATTGTGTGACACAAAGTCTAGGCTACAATTGTCTTGGGTCGCACCGTGTGACAGGAAGTCCGAGCCACACCCAGCTTGGGTCTCACAGTGTGACAGGAAGTCCGAGCAGAACCTGGCTTGGGTCTGACCACATAACAGGAAGTCCAAGCAGAACCTGGCTTGGGTCTGACCACATAACAGGAAGTCCGAGCAGAACCAGGCTTGGGTCTGACCACATAACAGGAAGTCTGAGCTACACCTGGCTTGGGTCTGTTTTTTTTTTTTTTTTTTATGGTTTCTGCAGGCATCCTGGTTGGTGGTGGTGTGCCCTGTTCCTTTACGGGCTGGGTTGCCAAGGTGACTGCAGCCTCTGCCCGGAAGTGGCTCTTAAACTGAGGAATGTGTGGGCGTGGCCTCATTAACACCATCAGTCGGGGCTCCTCCCCAGGCAGGTCCCTCATCACATCGTTAACTAGTGGGAATCAAACAGAACTGCGTTCATTAGCCTTTTTTTGCAAGCCAATACATAAATCGCGGTGCTTTGTAGTCGCCGGATGCAGTGGTACCGACCCAATGAATTGATTTATGGTGGTCCGTTCCCAGATGGTTCTAGAAAGATCCAGCTGATCACGTATTTCTCGCTGAAGCTTTATTACTGTGGTGTTATTTTTTTTGCCGGATATCTCTGCCAGTGTCCGGTTTTCCTTCTCCTCCTATCCGCGCCACTCTCGTGAGTTGCCATGGTGATCGAGGTGGCGGACCCAAAGGAGAGGTCAGGGGCCACGTACCATTCCCGACAAGGGCCGCTGTGATTTGACATGGGAATCTGCAGGGGTTTCTTGCAGTCTTGCTGCTGCCTGCCATACAGAGGGGTGTGGCCACCACTATCACTTGCGATCAAAAAGTCCCCCCCCTCCCCAGACCATTACCTTTAGTTAAAATAATATCCTTTAAGGGGAGATGGAAAAATAACACAAAACAGCTGCTCTGGCGTGGTTAGAATGGGGGGGCCCTGTTCACCGTCCGTTCTGGGGGGGTCCCAGGGGTTCAACTGCTTTGTTGCTGGTATCTGGGTTCAGCTGACAGACCGTCGTGATTTCTCTGGGAGGGGCATTGCTGATAACATGCCTGTTTGCTGTCTTGTTTCTAGAATGGATTCGCTGTGGTGAGGCCCCCAGGGCACCATGCTGAAGAGAGCACTCCTATGTAAGTCAGCTTGGGCCAGAGGGGGGGGGGAGCAGGGGGCAGCTCTCTGGATGAATTCCTGTAATCCCTGGTCAGGTGGAGGGACCTTCAGCCAAAGTGATGACCAGGGGGGTGCTGTGACGAGTCTAATCGGAAACCCTCCAGCGGGCGATGTGTATAGAATGAGGCTTTTTGACTGACTTTTTGCCCCCGCCCCCCCCCCCCACAGGGGATTCTGCTACTTCAACTCGGTGGCCATTGCTGCCAGACTGCTACAGCAGAGGCTCAGTGTTAGCAAGATCCTCATCGTGGACTGGGTGAGTTTGCACAGAAGTCCTGGGGGAGGGGGCGGAGTCCCAAGGAGCTTCCACCTGGCGACGGCCAGATCACCCCACCCCATCGCCCACGACTCCTGGCAGAAAGTTAACATTGCCAGTCCTGTTTCCTGGTTCCCATTCCCGCTCCTGATCTTCATCCATTCTCATTTTGCTGTAGGATGTTCACCATGGCAATGGGACGCAGCAAGCCTTCTACAGTGACCCCAATGTCCTGTACTTGTCCCTCCATCGCTATGACGATGGCAACTTCTTCCCCGGCAGTGGCGCCCCCGATGAGGTAAGGGGTCAGAGGTCACTTTGCCCAGATCTGATGGGGCTCATTCGGTGCCAGTGATTTGTGTCACGACTCAATAAAGTAAATGGACTCTGTCCCTGGGACGGTATTGGTATGAGACTTGGCTTAGGGAAGAAAGGCCTGTATTCGGAGCCAACAAAATCAGTATTTTTATTCTTCATTCTCCAACATACAATAGCTCAACTCACTATAGCCCCCCCGAGAGCACTGACCAAACTTGGAAGCTCATCTTGGAGTTGAACGATGCAAGCTAAAACCTGGTCTTAGTTTGCAGTCTAACGTGTTGGTATTTATTTAATCTGACTCTAACGTTTTACTGTTGAGTTCTGCCTTGTTCACTTTCATGATTCATGTCTCTGAACAGAAAATCCTGCTCTGACTTGGGTGCTGGGCTTATGGTTACCATTTACAGTAAAACGGACCTTGAAGGAAAGCTGATTTTTGATCAGTTGCTGAAATTACCGTAATGCAGTCTCCTCAGCGCCTCAAACATTATTTCCCCAGATAAGGGTTTGCATTTATGAGCTTGATCAAGTACAGTTACTCTGTTGTTTTTCTGTGACTATTGTTCTGTTTAATCCATAGTCATGTGTCATTGTTTCACTCGTAACTGGAATTAGCTTTTGGGTAAACCTCAGGCAGTCAGCACAAACATGAGCTGATTAGCTCTTCACAGGACTCTGAGTGTAGGAGAAGGAGTGGAGGATTACCTGTGCTGGGTTAACTTGCAGGTTGGGTCTTCCGGAAGGTGGTTCATCACATGGGCTCATATGCAGAGCCTCCTGCCTTTCCTTTATTGGTGGCTTCTTCCCCCTTCGACATTACCGCTCTCAGGGTGCTTCGAGTTTGTGCAGTTTTGTTCACGTGTTTCTCACTGCACGTCCTGTGTGTCTACACGCCTATTCGTCCATGTTTCCTATCTCGCCAACTTCTCCACTTTGTATTGCACAGGTGGGCACCGGTCCCGGAGTGGGATTTAACGTCAACATGGCCTTCACTGGAGGCCTGGACCCCCCCATGGGAGATACAGAGTACCTGGCAGCTTTCAGGTAAGCGGCACCATGCAAACCCCAGCCCCCCCCCCAAAGCATACCTGACCCTTGGTTTTGGCTGGGTCTTTGGTGGGTCTGCGTGATAGCCAGGCTTGGTGGGACCACCTGCAGTGTGACCTTACAGTGGGCTATGGCTGTGACTCTAGAACCTTCCTGTGTTTAGAGAAGACGCCAGGATGACCTAACATCCTGCCAAAAACTGTAACGTCACTGCGGTCTCATAACCTGCCCCAGCGTCAGTCTTTCATGGATAACTTTGTGGAAAATAACATGGAAAGCACTGGGAATATTTTCCCCAAGAATAATCTTCAGGCACCGCCTGGACGCCCCGGGGTCCTGCATCTCCCAGATTCCCCAGAACGCCTTTGCCCAGTGAGGTCAGGGGCTCCTTTGAATCCTGATGTGCCTAAATGATCTTCCTATTCCGCATTTGATAGATGTTTATAGACGAAGAGATGAAATCGGGTGTCAGGACCTGTTTGGGGGAGCTGACCTCATCTCCCGCGCGGAGTCTTTTATCCGGAACCTTCTCAGCGATCCGTCTTTCATGGCCTGCCAGCGGAGCTGAACCCTATTATCTCTGCTACCTTGCTGGACCTTTTAATAACTCTTCCCTGATCGCCGCGGGCGACGGCCGATTTGTGACGGTGCCCCCAGGGGTGCTTTGAAGCAGGATGCGTTCCCCCCCTGCCGCCCCGGGAGGGCTCTGCAGGTACGCGATTGATATTTCCCCCGGTGGCCGCCGACGCACACTCCAAGCTTCTCACGCGGCCCCCATAAATTTCCCCCAAGAGCCCGAGCGCATCCCTGATAAACGGCCGTCACCTTCCGCCCACCGTAAGTGGAGCCAGCTGGGGGCCGACTCTCAGAACCGACCCAGTTGCGCATCCTCTCCTGTGCCCCACCCCCCTTACCACTCTCAGGCATCCCCATCACAGGCCCGACCTTTAAGGCCCATTTCAGCTTCACAAAGGGCTGATGTGCAGCTCTACGGGTTGAGATGCTGTGTGTGATCAGAAGGTCACGGGTTCAAATCCCAAGGTCAGCAACCCCCCAATGCCTCCAGGGACTGTCTGACCCTGCTTTGGGTAAAAGCGTCTGCTAAAATGACTAAATGTAAATGCATAGGGATATTTTCCAGTTTCGTTTACCTTAATTTTTTTTTTATAATATTTATACAACAATAGCGTGCTGCTGCTGGCTTAAATGGATCCTTGTTAGGCAGATTGATTATAGTGGTTGTGTCCTCACTCTGTCCTCATGCTGAGTCAGGGTCTGCCTCTTCTCCAGCCACCCCGCCCCCCCCTCCCTCCGCAGTACCAGCGTGTCTATCCCGGTGTCGCCCCAGTGACTGCTCTCAGGCCCATGATCTCGCTTCCCGTTTATACCAGCATGCGAGCGGGACGACAGCATACTGGCAGGACAGACAGACCTCTCCCTGTGTCTGGACATACCAAACCGGTCCGTCATCGGCGAGAGACGTACACCCTCAGTGTCACGCGAGCATCGCTGTTTTTAACCTCGCAGTTTATACACCATTCCGCTCCCCCCCCCCCCCCCCCCCCCGACCTGAAGGAGGAGAATGCCTCAGCCTATCAGATCATTGATCTCAGGCGGGGGAATAGAGAGAAGCGGGCAGGCAGGCAGGCAGCACCTTATTTTTCAGGCCTGGGGAGTGCCACGTTGCAT